CATAATTGCTTTAAGAATAACTCAACATAATTTTTTCACGACAATTTATTTTTAGTATCATATCTGGAGTTTCAAATCAATAACTCAGCCACAAAAGAAGCAATGGCCATTGAAGATTGTGCGCGGGCAAAAAAAAAAAAAAAAAAAAAAAAAAAAAAGAAAAAAACATCCTTCACTGCCTTGAACTGTGTTAATTCAACACTTACAAGCTGCTTTCGTGAATCTATTAAGGTAAACTCACGAAGCGCTTTTTATTTGTTCAAACTAACATTGTGGTCGCTTTTAAAAGAAATGCACATTGGGGATAAAAATTATGAAAAGATTAAAAAGTCTTTGTTATGAGATTTGGTTTCTCTTCGTTTGTGTGTTGCCGCAGCATAGTATCGTGCTCCACAGCGAACTTCTTTTAATGACAATACCGTTAAAATAATTGTTGCGGTGTGTGGTCTGGTAAGTAGTATTCAGTACTCAGCTAGACAAGTCAATGCAAGTCATGATAGTAAGGAGAGCAACTGGCTCTTGCCATAACAATTATAATAACGTGTGGTTTGCAGTCACGCTTGCTCCGATAATAAAGATCCGACATTTTCTATCTCCCCCTCCCCCACCAGCTATGGGTAAATAGCTGTCCTGCTATTTATCCATAGCTGGTGGGAGAAGAAGAGGATTCATACCTTTCCCAAGGGTATTAGCACTTACGTGCTAATACACTTGGGAATGGATTTAACTGGAATTCGAACTCGGCTCTCGGATTGAGGAATCGGAGAGCCGAGTTCGAATTCCAGTCTAATCCATTACATTCACTTACGTGCTAATACCTTGGGAAAGATATGAATCCTCCTCCTCCCACCAGCTATGGGAAAACAGCAGGACAGACCGGGTTCTATAGCCTTGGATGGTAACTGGTCTACCGTAGAAAGAAATGGTAACATACTGCGAGAAAAATCTGCCTCGTCAGTCATGTATCGAAAGATGCATGATCACCTGGACCGATTTAATGTGAATTAAGTTTAAGCGTCTAATGATTTTTTTTCTCTCAGATTTGGCAGGCATTTGGGCAATATTATTTTCACACATAATTGCCATGACTTAAATAACATCATCCAACAGAGAAATAAATAAATTTTCACCAATAACACTGATTTATTTACTGCTGATTTTGATCCGTCTTAATGAAACACCCTTATATATAATCCGTCTTAATGAAACACTCTTTATAAATAGAATGTGACTTGATATTAAAATAACTTCCGAGTTTCAAATCAATATATTTAAGTAGATAAAAATTAATCCGGTTAAGCAGGCATAACTTCAAAACTAAGCAATAACTTTTTGCCTCGTTTACATCTTACCAGTTCGCAAACTTTTTAATGCTTCAATAAGTTTTACAGATGATATAATTATGTAAATGTAAAACTAAACATTGTTCAATAAAGACATTTCGAGCCGTTATCCATTAGAACAAGGGTCGGCAACCTGCGGCACGCATGCCACACGCGGCACGCATCCCAAGCGCGGCACGTCAAGCAATTTCCAATGGCACGCAGCCGCAAATGACATCACGAGGTCTGAACCAATAACTTCTACAACGCAAAGATATTTAGCTGTTTTAATTTTAATATATACTAAAGTATATATACTATTTATTATTATATAATATATATTGTAGAACAGGTGTATTGACGTTGGCTCGTATAAAAATAAGTATGCTGCTGGCATACTGAATGATTTTAAGACCCTAAGTCGGCAAAAATGTTTCCGACCACTGCATTAGACCACAACGCGCATCGTAGTGAGTCCTAATTTATCTAGTGAGACAAGCTACATTTCACCACATCGAACCGCCCACGTTCTTCATATCTTAAGGTTGTTGAGTTTTTTAAATGTTTATATTAATGAAGTTATTTCAAAACGAGGAACTGAGACTCATTTATTTCAATAATTTGAAATTTATTCAAGCAATATTTCTTTTTACTGGGTGGGTGCCTCTACGTAAAATAAGTGATCTCGTTTAAAGTAAACTTTTAATGTGGTGTAGTGGCTTCATTTTACATATGGCGCCTAACCTGATTGCACCAGATGATGCGATGTTCAATAAATATTTATCAGATCATTGCAAAAGTCCGTGCTCGATTTTCATTGTTAATATTAAATGACAGCAACTTGACATTGACGTTTGTTTTGGTGCCGATGTCTAGAATGAAACCTTGTACCGCTCAGTTGCGAGTCAGTCTTTGTTGAATGCTGAAGATTTGTCCATAAATAAATGCCTCAAAGTTGGAGCATGAAAAGCTACATTTTCGCCATATTTTTATACAGTTGGTTTAACCCTGTACAAGGCTCGGGGGCCAATCTAGGTAGAGGGTTACATTAACAGGCAGTTTATGCGGATAGGAGGGGAAGATAATGCTTAACTCTAGATTTGAATAGGTTAAGATTGTAGTGATTGGGAAAACATCCTCATGGGAATCGGTTTCACGGAGCAGCTCATTTGGCGACAAGTAAGTTCGAGTGGAATTGTGGATGGTTTGCTACAATGTGAATGGTATGGCAGGTCTTAGCTGTGAAGGTTAAAATTGGTGGAATTATGCTCTATGAATTTTGAAAGTAGTAAGCGTCGGAATTGAGGCAAAAAAAAGGATTCAGAAGGTTTATTTGGATCGTGCTCCAGCACTTTGGACGATCAAAAAGTGGTTTGACAGATTTCATCATGACGATTCTAACCTAAGCGCCCAATCACGCTCCGAATGACCTTTTGGACGGCGGTGAAGACGCTCTGCTTACCATCGCGGAGAATAAACCGAATATTTCAACGGAGTTTAAAAATCGATATTTCAACTGCCTTCCACCATTCAAAGAGACTTAGGTTCGTTTTCTAAACTCGACACATGGTTGTCATTTTCTCTGACGGAACAAACTCGATCGTGTTTCTGTGACGATTTCTTTGTTGTTACGCCACGAAAAGCAGCCGTTCTTGGACAGAATTGTTACAGGCGAAGATAATGTTTGACGTAAACTGAGCTGGCACCAAGCTTATGAATGTGCAGAACACGTGATCTTGCATCCAATGAAGACGCTACTGTCCGTTTTTATGGGCATGCAGAGGGGTAATTCACTTTGAGCTTCTTCCAGCCGGCCAAAAAATAACAGCAAAGAAGTATTGCGACCAACTCACCAATCTCAATGCGACAATCGAAAAGGTGTCATTTCCTATAACGACAACACAAGACCGCATGTTGCCAAACAGACATTGCAGAAGCTTAAAGAATTGCAATGGGACTCCATCCTCCAGCATCCATTGTATTCTCCTGACTTGGATTCTTCAGATTTTCATTTGTTCCAGTCACCACAGAACATTTTAAATGAAATTTTTTTCAGTAAAATCAGTCGAAAACTAACTCATAAACTTCTTCCGACAAAAAAAAAGAAAAAAAAAAAAAGAAAAAAAGCGAAGTTTTTACGAAAATGGCATCAACAAGTTTGTAGAACAATGGGAGACAGTTGTTAAAATCAATGTAGACTATGTACTTCTATATAATAAATGCGAATGTCAGTGTGCCGCGGTATCACACTTTTTCAATTAAAGGGACACAACTCTCTAACTTTCAATAACTCATGTTGCAGAAATTTTGGATTCCTATGTTTTTATTACTGCAATTGTTTTCGACGATTTTTTTACGTGATCTTTTGCGAGGAATTTTTTGTACGATAGCAATTTTTATAACTTGGAAATAAATTAGGGAATAATCGAAATTAATTGCGAGAATCACCCATGAAATAAAAATAATTGTTTGCATGGAAAGTAAGGACCTACGCACATCAAATTGTCTTTAGATTAAGTGGAGACAGAAGAATTATCGCTGAACTTTTAAAAGGTAAGCTTAAATATTAATGCAATCCTTAAATGCAGCGATCAGTTTTGAGTTTTTCTGGAGTTTATTGTTGCCTATCATAAATGGAAGCAGTATGTCTTGCAAAAAGAAATCTCCGCCAACAGAAAAAAAATGTATAGCTGTCTGTATTGCTGGTGTTTTTTTAAAAATGTTGCTCATGATAATTTTTCCTTTAAAAATTATTGCTGGTAATAATTTATTATTACAAAATATTTCTGGTATTAAAACCTATTTTTACACAAGTTTGGGAGTTAACTATTTGCCCATAGCTGGGACCCTAACAGGTGCTACCACCCCGGGTCAGGTTGGACCTGGGAACACCAGCAATTAAGAGGCGGTTCCTCGCTCCTCAAAACCTCCTGATCAGAGGCTTTGCTGTTGGACGTAGTTTATCGTCTTACCCAGGACGCGGATGTTTGTTTATCGTCATACCCAGGACGGCTCTTCTGTAGAAGTGACTGTACTTTCGTTTCCGTGTCTGCCATCAACGCTATGTCATCTGCATATCCTATATCGTAAGCGCAAAAAATATAATAGTCCTGGTTGTAACGCTATTAAAACTAAGGTTCGTCGTCCTTAAAGAAATTTTGTTACGAATGTGAACTTCGCCGAACAATTAATCTAATAAGAGGCATAACAAAACATATTATCCGAATTTTGATGAATAGAGCTCGCAGCAGAATCAGACCGGAGATAGGACGAGGCCATATTTGAACATGAGCAAATGGATGGTAGAACATGGTTTAGCGGAAATAACAAAAAGACAAAATTTATTAAGAGCTACAAAAAACAGGAATTTGTGGAAGGCCATGATCGTCTACGTGCTGAAGGGACTCGGCACATAAAAGAAGAATGTTGTATTCACAATGATAGGTTTACGGTCAGAATGAGAGCCAATTAAGTTGATCACCTCAAAGATTACAGTACTCTGGTCTCCGGAAGCACTTGAAGACAAAGCCAGTAACCTGATCGGCGAATGGCAAACGCAGAAGCAAGGCCGCGACAAATAAGAACGGGGAGCCCCCTCACATTTTAAAGCGATGACGTCATATCGGCTTTGCGCGCTGTGACTCGAATCAACGCCAGTGGAACGATAACAGTGTTTTAATGATCGATATTTTGCAGCCATACGCTGTTAACAAACTGTTACCAGGCACCTCCTCCACTCTCACTGTTCAGTCATTCGTCTTTTACTATAAGAAAGATTAGGCAACAATAGTAGTTGTTTGTGACCAACAGCGTCGTCTAGTGACATTGTCAAGAATCAATGGATAAGAAGTAATTATCCGATTTTTTTTTACCATTTCATTGCTTGCTACGATGAGTAATCATTAAGGAATATCCCAGCATCGTAATAGGAGTTGTAGCAATGCGTACTTGTTATTATTATGATGAATATTCGTACTTTTGTGTCCGTGTGTTCGCGAGTATTCTGTAGATATCTTGAATGCAATGTGTTATTAATAAATATTATAAAGAAAGTAGTATTCTCTTTCGTTTTTTTATTGATTCTCATATTCTAGTAATCCTACCGACGATTCTTAAATTCTTTTTTCTTTATGTATATTCTCGCTTATATTGTCCTTTTCTTTTGGTTTATATGTTTCTTCTTCTTACAGATAATTATTAATTTTTACCTTTGTACGGTACAAGGCAACACTTTTTTGGTCACGCATTGAGGATGAAAAATCGTTTTCCGAACCGACTCACTAACCACAACTGCGCCACGATCCGTTCTTATATATAATTCTCCAGACGCTTTTCTTCGATTTGTCTGTCACCTGATGTTTATCTCACCCTTTTATGTATCAGTTCAAAGTACAGGTATCTACCGTTTATCAAAAGTTCAATTTACAACACATCACATTATACAATAAAGACCTACAATAAAGACCTACAATAATACAAGTTTTCGCACGCTTTCCGAACAGAAATACTTGCCACATATATCTCCCAGAAATACCCCGCCTCTAATAATGGTAAGACGTTAGTGGCAATGATGTCTTAATCTAGCTAATGTCTTACCATTATGAGGAGGGTATTTCTAGGAAGGACGGTGTATTTCTTTTGAACCATGTATATTAACCCTGTAAACACCCCGTGGAATACAGCAGGCCAAAGTGGCTAATGTGGAAGACACGAAATACGACATTATGCTCTGACTGCTCGGTATTTTCCTATTACCGTATATACACGTGTAACGCGCGATCTCGCATATCGTTCGGCCCCCAAATTTTCACTTATAAAAAATGATTTTATTATGCATCACGCGTATCATGCGAGTCCCTTTTTTGAGAGACCAAATTACAATAGACTAATCTCTTTTCCACTATCTCTTTATCTCATCTTCTAGTTAAATAAGTTAGAAAAGTAAAAAAGAATGATAAAATGAGTGTTAATAACGCTCTACTCGTTTCGTAAATACGTACAACCATAAACAACCGAACGAAAAACAGTTAAACATTTTATAAACGTAAACAATGAAAAAAAATCATATCCGTTGCTTGTATTTTATAATCAGCCATGCCATACGTGATACAAGCTTTCGATACATGACTGACGTGGCAGATTTTGTCCTGCAGTAGGTTGACATTTCTTTCTGCGGTAGACCAGTTACTATCCAAGGCTATAGAACCCGGTCTGTCCTGTTATTTACCCATAGCTGGGGGAGGATTTATACCTTTCCCAAGTGTACTAGCACGTAAGTGAATGTAACTGATTCGACTGGAATTCGAACTCGGCTCTCCGATTCTTCAATCCGAACCGCTATCCATTCAACATGTGAATATTAAATGCATTATTATTGGATACAGTTAAGTAAAATAGTTTATCAAAATCATGTTCATTTTAAATACAGCTGTGCTTTCTGACTACAGTAAATAGATATATAATTTGGTCAACAGCATAGCCAGGACCAGTAGTACATAAGCTAATTTTATATCTCATGTATGATGCGACCTCCTTAGAATTAGCTTCAAAATTAGGTCTTCAAAAGTCACATGATACACAAGTATATTCGGTATATATGTTTTTTGCCATTCAAAATTCTTCTAAAGATACTCATATATTTGCAATCATTCCAACACTAGCGAACTTTTCAGGTAAAGTTATTTTTTAAGTCTGGGAACGCCCCAAAATCCCCCCCCCCAAATTAATGGAAAATCCTTTTTCGTTTTACGCCATTTCAGTATACGAAATATTAAATAGAAATATTTTACTTTAAGACAGCGGGGGAAAACCTTTATCTTTATTTCTTTCACTTTCTCTCTCTTCTGGTCTTTAGCTATCCCCCCCCTCTCCGTCACTCCTTGTTCTCTCTATCCGCTTCTACGCCACTCTCCTTTTCTCTCAAACCTTACATCTGTCACGGTTTCTCCTTGGCCTTAAAGAGACAAGCCGCCTCCGCGGAAGAATGGAGTTCAGTTTGCAAAGCAACAGATGAATGTCACTCTGGTATCTGGCTGACAATCCTCTTTTCCTCTGACTACAACAACCTCTGCCGACTGACATTGGCGCCGTGACGTCACGCATGCTCAGAACGGGGACTTCCCCTGTCAGCCGTCGACACCCACAGACGCAGAAGTGCGGCTTTCCCCGATTAATATCTCGACTGCCGACAAGACATACGTTATTGGATTAGAACCACTTAGAAACGTAAATGAGATGCTGATATGAACGATGAGATAATAATGGTGTGTCGCCTCTAGTCCCACACGTCGATAGATATTAGTTTATTAATTTACGTAGGGAAGATTAAATTCACTATAGATATTTGTCAAGCTTAGCTTAGTATAGCACATGACCAGATGTGCGTAGGAAGATTTCAAGCGGGGGAGATTTTTTTTTTTCTTTTTGTCTTGAATACCAGTCACCAATTCTTGGTTTTCGCTCGATTCAAACACTGATAGCTGACATTTATGCGAAAATCAATAAGTCCGTAACTTAACAGTAAAAAAGAATGTATTTTACGCAACAAATATATTTCGGCATAATCACCTTCCTCGTCAATGTAATATTCATGAGTAAATATTAAATCATATAAATCGAAAATTATGCAATAAAATTTCAGATCAATATTCAGTAAATAATTACATGTCAGATTAGGGACTTATTGATCGAACCTGGTAACTTACATAATGTATCAACATTCTACGACGTATAGATCTAATCACGGGTTTATAAGTGAGCATTTGACTATGTTCTGTTTAGTTGATAAGGTAGATCTTATGCACTAAAGACAAAATGTATTTAAAAATAACCTCATGAGATGGTGCTGAAAAGTACTCGGCCTGACCCATTACAAAATTCTGATCAAATGAATAGACATCATTTTATTCCCCACTTTTTTACAAGTGCGTCTTGGTCTGGCAGTGAAGAATTTTGAGCTCCACTTGCACCAAATCTAAGCAACAAACAGGATCTATCTATCTATCTATCTATCTATCTATCTATCTATCTATCTATCTATCTATCTATCTACTGGGTTCGAGTGGTAAATTGTCACCATTTTATAGTTTTAATTCCGCGCATGCGCGTTGTTTGTTTCGGATTTTGTTGACTGCACAATATAGTAGAGTCAGTTGGGAAGCGTCTATGAGAAAAAAGAGTACCATGATGCAATTCACTCTGCCAGAGATTTGTAAATGGCATGCTATACTGCTTGACATTGGCGCCGGGAGCTTCAATATTAACATTTCAGATTATTTGGGTGCCAATCTGAGGACAGTGCAGAGAATTCGGAAAGAGTTGGATGAGTCTAATGGTGATTACGAAGATACAGAACCTCGGAAAACTCACTCTGATCTTTCTGATAAGAAAAGAACTCCCGAATTTGTTGGTGAGGGCCTCAGATCCAACACGTAGGTCTATATCAAGTCCCTTGAGGAGATAGTGCTGCCCTGGATCAAGAAGGTGGCTGCTGAAAGACCCTATATCTGGCAACAGGACTCTGCACCATGCCATACAAGCAGGAGAACCCAGTCATAGCTGTCAGACAAATTCTCATACCACCCCACCTCTTATATCTGTCCGCCTAACGCCCAACATTGCAACTCTCTTGATTATTATGTGTGGGGTGCAGTTGAATGAGAGACCAACAAAACTCCTTATAATAACAAAGATGAAAGCAAAGATTATGGCAGCATCCACCAACTTAAACAAGGTGACCGCCCAGAAGAGTTGCAGAAGATTCCGATGTCGTCTGGAGGCCGTGGTTGAAATCAATGGTGATTTTATTGAATAAATTTACTCTTTAGTATTTCAAGATATTTTTGTGTAATTTTGGTGAATATATCTGTTAAAATAAGACGTCAGTGTTATTTTCGTTTTTGCTTAATTTACACGACAATCTATCTATCTATCTATCTATCTATCTATCTATCTATCTATCTATCTATCTATCTATCTTAGTCTGTTAATATCTATCTATCTATCTGCCGAGTGACCTCCCAAAAATCGTGAGGTTTTCGATGTTCGATAAACATTACAAAAGGCATTATGGCATAAACCATTTTAGTAATATGCAACCTATATATTATTTACGGTCAAATGACCTCCAAATGCGTACATCTGCACTAATAACAAGTGTAGCAAACATGGCGATCAAACGTTTGATTTCTTAAACTGCGCAAATTTAATCACTGAATAAATATAACAGCATTAACATGTATGATGAAGACATTGCAATATTACAAAACCGACTTACCCCAAATTCTGACATTAATATAATCGAACTTATAGTCAAGAGGAATAGTAGAAAATTCCTGATGAAATAATTTCGAGTTGAGAATAGTCTGTGCGAATTGAAGTTCTACTAATCACTGGTAATGAAATTTTATATTTTTGATTTATAAATAATGATACTAATCTAAATCAAATAATATGTGGGAATTACGAAAATTTAACTTATTTTTCAAGATAGTCAGTTAACTGTCATACGCGATACACGCTTAGGTGATCATATCTCTTTCGATTCATGATTGACTCGGCCAGTGATTCTCAACCTCCGTGCCGCGGCATACTAGTGTGCCGTTCAATCCCCCTAAGTGTGCCGCGAAATACAGTCATATATACATATATATATATATATATATATATATATATATATATATATATATATATATATAACGAAATATAGTCTTAAGATGTGCTATATTTATGGGTTAGTGCTCAATATCAGAGATAGAGCGTGTGTAAATATAAAAGTGAACATAGAAGTCAACACTTAGAGGCGACAGTCTGTTTCATGCTAGATGCATTCGTCCAGGTATATATATATATATATATATATATATATATATATATATATATATATATATATATATATATATATATATATATATATATATATTTTGTGTGTGTGTGTGTAGTAATGGTACAACATTAGCATTTGAATAAATGAATAAATGAATTTGAATAACTTGAATAAAATGTATTTGAATAAATGAATAATTTCGATACATGACTGGCGAGGTTTCCATTTATTTCTGCGGTAGACCAGTTGCCATCCAAGGCTATAGAACCTGGCCTGTCCGGCTATTTACCCATAGCTAGGGGGAAAAGAAGAGGATTCATACCCTTCCCAGGAAGTGAATGTAATGGATTTGACTGAAATTCGAACTCGGCTCTCCGATTCCACAATCCGAGCCGTTATTCAGATCCAAATGCTTGATAAAAATCTTTTTAGCAAATACGGCAAACCAAGGGAATTAAGTATTCGTATTTATTTTCTGAAATCCAAACGTCTCTATCTCTTTTTGTTCATCTCACCGGATACAACAAGCAATTCTGAGAGAATTAGAAGTCCTGCCAGCATTCATTAGTGGCGGCCACAATCTTAACAATATATGCAGATGACACAGTGCTGATACCAGACATGGAAAGGAAACTGCACCCCCCTACAGAAAGTAGCGAAAGAAAACGAGAAGAAGGAATAAAGTGTAAACTATAAAAAGACAGAATGCATGGTTATCAGCAAAAGGGTGAGCCGAAAATGCAAATTACAGGTTGGGGATGCTAAAATCAAGCAGATACAGAAATTTAAATATCTGGGAAGTGTTCTAACAGAGGACGGAAAGTACGACACTGAGATCCGAAAACGTGTTGGAATGGCCAAAGATGCATTCCAAAAGCTAAGCAGAGTATGAAGAACAGAAAAAAAAATTGTAGGAAACAAAGAAAAAAAGTATTGAACGGTTATGTGATATCTGTCCTCCTGTATGGCAGCGAATGTTGGACAATCTCCTCATAGATGAAGAAGAGACTTGAAACAACAGAAATGTGGTTCTACAGAAGAATGCTGAGGATACCATAGGCAGAACATGTGTGCAACAACGAGGTTTTGGAGAGAATGAAAACAAAAAGGAAGCTTATACATAACATCAGGAATAGGTAGTTGAAATTTCTGAAGCACGTAATGAGGAAGAAAGGCTTGGAAAATCTGATACTCACAGGACAGATTGAGGGAAAGAGGGACAGGGGAAAGCAGCACTTAATATATTTGATGGGCTTGGGCGAATGGATGGCAGAACAGGATTTGGGAGAAGTAACAAAAAGACACAAATTTAGACCTACAAGGGACAGGAAGATGTGGAGGGCCATGATTGCCTAAGTCCTGAAGAGACACGATACATTAAAGAACAAGAATAAGGAGAGAATAACTAACGGATTCAGGTTACGTCTTCTCCAAAATATGAGTCAGTACTTCTCCGCCAAGTGGCTTTTGATGATACTCGAGATATGTACTTCTTTACTCGTGATTAAAACTGCGTGCCATAATTATTGTTGTTGTTGTTTCATGTACTTGTTCTTGTTCTTCTTTTCCTCCTCGTCCTTTTCCTTCTTCCTCCTATTCCTAGTTCTTATTCTTCCTTCTCCTCCTCTTTCTTCCTCCTCTTCCTCCTCCTCGTTCTTCTTCTTCTTCCTCCTCCTTACTCCTCCTTCCTCCTCTTCCTTCTTCTCGTTCCTCCTCCTCCTTCTTCCACTTCCCCATTCCTCTCGTTCTTCTTCTTCGACAATCTCTTCCTTCTTCCTCCTACGCCGCTTCCTTCTTTCTCCTCTTACTAGTTCTTCTTCCTCCTTTCTCCTCCTCCTCCTTCTTCCTATTTTTTTCCTCCTCCTCCTACTTTTTCCTCCTCTTCTTCCACCTCCTCCTCTTTCTCCTTCTTCTTCTTCTGGTTCTTCTTCTTCATCTTCCTCGTTCTTCTTCTCTTTCCTCCTCCTCCTTCCTCCTCTTCGTTCTTCTTTTTCTTCTTGCTTCTCCTCCTCCACTTCTTCCTCCTCTCTCTCCTCCTCTTCTACCTTTTTTCCTCCTCCTTCTCCTCCTTCTTCTTCTTCTTCTTTACAAAAGTCACATTAGACCAAAAATGAAAAGCTGCTGTCATATCTGAACTGGAGTGGCTCAATTCTCACATTCCAGACTTATAGAATAAAGTCGTTTACGAAGCCTTGTGGGTGATGACTTATTCTCCAACCTCTCTCAGCCTCTTTCCCATAGACAAAGCGTCGCAAGCCAATCGCTTCTTTATCGTTATTTCCGTGGCAAATGTTCGGATAAGCTCCATTCTTTAATTCTGGGCGATTCTTAGCAAAAAAAAAAAAAAAAAAAAAAAAGAAAAGATGTCTGGCGGTTATCACAGAAGATTGAGTGACAGAAAGATTCCTCAACTTCTTCAGCTATGGGTAAATAGCAGGATAGACCTTAGATGGCAACTGGTCTACCACAGAAAGAAATGGAAACCTAATGCGGGAAAAAAATCTGCCTCGTCAGTTATGTATCACGCATGGCAAGACTGACTGACTGACTGCTACTTTCATGTTTTCACAGATTTCTCACTTTATGTATAAGGTTCTATTATTTATCCAACTTTATTTTCCATTGACTTTTCTTTTTTCTTTTTTTTGTACGATTACGATTAGGCAGATTTTCTTTCCCTAGTTTACGATAATTAAATACAATGACTGGGATAATCGGTTTTGAAGTATTTGATTCCTTTTTATTTTCTAGGACAGTCTCTGATTTTAGCTGAGACCAGTTGTTTACAAAGTCAAACTAAAAGTAGAGTTAGTACGAGTAGTCTTAGCAGCAATGATGACGATGGAGAGATGAGTGACAGAATGAATAGACGAGTTTTCTAGTTAAATCTGACGCTTGCTACAGTCACAAAAAGTACCTTACAAGTAGTACAAATTTAATGTCACTTATACGAGATTACTCTCTTTATAACCATCTCCCTCTCTCTGTATATATATATATATATATATATATATATATATATATATATTTCTTATTATTATAAACGAAAACCAAGATTGTATCTCCGATAGGAATCGAACGTGTTTCTTTAGTAGGACTTCTCAATCTAGGCTGGTTGTTATAAATATCCAGAGCGAGCAACTCATATACGTTTACCAAGTAAAAATAACGTTTATAGTGAAAAGTAATAACTTCTGATAAAACTCCCTCTCTCTCTCTCTCTCTCTCTCTCTCTCTCTCTCTCTCACACACACACACACATATATATATATATATATATATGTGTGTGTGTGTGTGTGTGTGTAAAGAACAATGGCTAAAATGTGGTAGAAAGCGCTTGGGACAATGGACAGTACGGACAATTTTTCACTCCTTTATTTCCACCAAACGAAAAATGTAAAACTAAATAAAAAATTGACCAAATTTTCCTTGTCTGTCATATTCAACGTAACATGTTGAAAAGAAAGGTTGCTGCCCAAATATATATATATATATATATATATGTGTGTGTGTGTGTGTGTGTGTACGTATGTATAGTCAATCACGAGATCCATAAATCATTAGGCTTGTAGGAGCACCACGTATTTTAATCGCAGCACCTGCATGTGTGTCTAGGGCATCGTTTGGAAATCAAAAGTTTATTTTTTCTCCCCGAGTGGTTGGTACGCAAGTCTAGAGAGACCAGTCTACCCTGTTATTTTATCTATGTCTGAAGGAAGATAGGTTCATGTTTTTTCCGATGGAATCGGTCAGAACTTGAACTCGGTACGCCGATATTACTTTTCGCGCCGATAACTGTTTTATGTATATATATATATATATATATATATATATATATATATATATATATATATATATATATATATATATATATTCCTTCACGCACACACACACACACACACAAAACAAAACACTCATACAAACACATGATCAACACACACACACACACACACATATATATGTGTGTGTGGTTTGTATGTCTGTGTGTGTGTGTGTGTGTGTGTGATAGAATAAATAGCACATCACAATAGATGAGCTTCCAGCTCTGATTTATGTCATGTTTGTGTTGCGCTGAAAGGGAGGAATCAAATCCATTCTTGGGTACATGGATACCACACAAACACGTGCGTGCGCATGCACACGCGCACACATACACACATACAAACCACACATACAGACACATGCCTAACAGACACACGCGTACAAACATACATTCATACAAAGTTACGCACACACATACAAACCCACACACACAAACATACACGTACAGACACACACATGTGCAAACACACACAGACATACACAACCCCACGCGTACACACACAAATATACAAGTAAACACATATACACGATATACGAGAATTAGGAACAGAAAGGAACTGTAGACTTTTTATAATTCATGTCTTTCTTGAGGTTTTGGGGGGAAAAAGCAATATTTCAGTTGCCAAGCTCTGAATCAGATTAGTTCAATTAAAAATATTGTAAAACAACAATAAAAATACAAGTATTCTTTCTCGATCCGCCAGTCGAAAAGGATTGGCGAAGATACGTGAAAAAAGCGCGAGAAAGACGTACAGCAGTTCCTCCGACTACCACTGACATCTGTATATCTTCCCACAACTTTTCGTTTCTCTAATAACGATGTGTGATAGTCGAAGCCAAAGCAGTAGGTTTGCGCATGCGTCTATGACCGATTTTTTCACTGTGTATGTGTGTTGGTGATCACAACAGTGAGCATAAACAATTCTCGGATAGAACAGTGCGGATTTTACAAGAACTAACGTTAGAACTATTTACATTGTTTGCACTGTTATCCTCATCTTTATTATGACATTCACGACGTTTCCACCGTTGTACGTTCCGGTTTTCTTCAGGTGATATTTGTTCGAATTTCGAAACCTAGGGGAAGATTATTCTAATTCCACATGCCATGCCTTTGGATATCTCAGTTTTAGCTAATTCGCATTGATAACTCTCTAAGTTCTTGTTTTCTCGCTGATGTCATGGATTGAACTCACAACTCTTTGGGTCAAGTCACTGTTTGGATCAATCAACTCAACTCTTTTATCCACTGGGCCACTTGGGGGAATATAGACAGATGCTGATGTTGGAAATTGCATATTAGTATTCTGGAAAACTAACAGCTCTACAAAGAAATCACATAGAGATCAGATAATTGTACTAAAAATTTCTTCTTTTCAACGATTTTATTATAAACACACTTGTTTCAATGCTAAAAATTTTGAAGCAAGGGAAAAAGTTTGTTTTAGTTATTCTCCAATGAATTGAAAGACGAGAGAACGCTTTACTTTTGTCCAAAGTTTTCGAGAAATATTTTATATTGTAAAAACAGGACAGAAGATAAAAAACGAATACATTCGTCATCATCAGCAGGAGTCTAATGGCCGGGCGTAGATGGGCACCTGACCAGCTCCCTCCATATATTTCGGTTGCGTACCAATGCCTGATTCTATTTATACTATTTACATTGTTCGGATTGTTGCCCACATTTTTACTGTCACATTCACAACGTTTCGACCGTTGTACGCCTTCGTTAGATGATATTTGTTGGAATGTAGAACCATGGGGGCAAATTGTTCTAATTCCACGGCATGGTAATGTCTTTGAATATCTCAGTTTTAGTTAATTTGTTTTGATGACTATCCAAGTTTTTGTTCTCTCGCCGAGGCCAGGGATTGAACTCACATCACCGAATGATCTACCAATCCAAACAATGACATTGTTAGACCATCTTTTTTTCACTGCCCATTTCAACTTCTTTTGTTTGTTTTTGGTTATAAGGTCTTACAATGGACCAGTCTTTTGTTTGACGGAATATCACACGGCGTCATTCGCGATACGGTCTGTGTAGGAGATAGGGTTGGTTCTGTACCATATCTCATTTTCTGAGGTTAATTTCCAAGATTTGCACGTCTACAGAAAGACTGAGAAAACCAATTCACACAACAGTCTGATCTTTGATTTCAGCCAGATATTTTGTCTTTACAGATCCTCCTTAGTTTTACGACAGCTGTCATTGTCTGTACTTCTCTTGAAATTGAATTACACCTTTGCCCGTCCTGCGCATCATATGTGAGGCCTAATCTAATATTTTGTGTATCATATATGACCAAAAGACTCTTGTCTGTTTTCAGATTTAAAACTACTGCAAGGCAACTCAACTTATTTGTCATATAGAATTTGTTATTATATAGTGTTTCGCATAATAAAAATCTCTGCATCATATGTGATGCAAAGAGTGCAGTGTAAATAATTTATGATTCGTACGTTTTTATGACGTGAAACACTATATATCATCACGTTCTATTTGCCAAATAAGCTGAGTTGCCTTGCAATAGATATAAAAATGAAAACAACCACCGATCTTTGAATAGTACACACAAAAATGCCCTGGACAGGCAAAAGGTGAATATCTTCAAATTATTGTCTTTAAGAATTCTTCATTCTTTGCCATATTCTTTTTTTTTTAAATCTCTTTTGAAAAACATGATATATCGAGGTAAATTGATTACAAATAAGAAAGTAATTTCGAACAAATACAAAATGACTAACATTCTACCAATACAAATACAAAATGACTAACATTCTACCAATACAAATACAAAATGACTAACATTCTACCAATACAAATGAGATTGTATCAATAAGTCCGAAGTTTGACGTGTTGTTAGAAGTTAAAGTTTGATCTGAAATGTCCCCTCTTTAATCTTCGAGTTATATGATTAATACTTATGATGACTGAATTAAGTGCAGTGACAAGGAAGAAAATTATGTTGATAAATAAGTACTTATTATATGAATTAAATTCTTTTTTCATCGTTAATTAACATAAATTAAAATAGAAACATACCATGTGAAGTGAACTCGAGTGGTCAACCTAGAAGTCAAGGCAGTAGAACATCTTGATTCAGAATTATCAGCGGGAGCTCAGTCACCGAGAGACAAGCTCAGCTCGCACACATATTAGGACTAAAGGGTTCGCTGAGAGAGATGGTAGGAACAGAAACTGCTCGGAGATGAGATGACATTTCCAACCCATATTGAACCACTTTCCGGATAGTTACATTTCTATACTTGCTTTA